GCAGACAGTGGAGATAGACAGGGAAAACAAGGCACAGTGCCACTGCCCAGAGAGTTGTCAGCAGTAAAAGCAAGCAAGCTTTTGAGTGGACCCCTGTTTATTCATTCCATGGAATCCAAGGGGGCAAAAGGATAAGGTGTGAAGTTGTCAGAGGGGATAGAAGAGCTTTCATGATGTGACAGAATGTGGGGTAGCTGGGAAAGGATAGTGCTGTGTCACCCTAGAAAATGTGAGGTTGAGATATTTCTTTCTTTAGTCCAGGGGTCTACAAACTATATCCTATGGCCAAATCCAGCCTAGCACATGTTTTTGTAAAAAGAGTTTTACTGGAACACAACTGTGCCCATTGGTTTAGGTATTATCCATGGCTGCTTCCACAGCAGGGTTGAGTAGTTATGAGAATGACAGTATGGCCCACAAAGCCTAAAATATTTACTATCTGGCCCTTTATAGAAAAAGTTTGCTGATTCCTGCTTCAGACTGTTCTGGACAACCAGATGCACTGCTTAAACTATGGTGGTCTTATGGGCGGTTGTTTGAAGATAGGATATATATATATATATGCAAGGCAATGAAATATGACCTTGATGTTCTTATAAATATTTACTAAATAAATGGAAATACTGCAATACTTTCTGTGCCAGGAGACCAGTTTAGAAATGGGAAAACTCTATAATGAGAAACTTCTGGATTAACACCTTGGAAAGGTCTAAGTCACAGGGTCTGACACTGAAGTTAACTCTGTAGAAAGCAGTGTGGACAGTGAGCTGCTTTTCTGGTGAGTGACAGTTCTGAGGAAGTCAGGAGTGTTCAAAAGCATTGGGAGAATGGGAAATGGATTTCTTCCCTGTTTCAGGGCTGGGATACACCCCCAGCCAAATAAATATCCCAGGGTGTTTTATTTGGCTGTTCTTTTTGTTTTTTGCTAGGATAGTCTTGTGGGATGGGGTGGAAGAAGGACTTGAAGGTTTGGAATTGAAGTCACATATAGTGCGTACCTAAGGTAGATCAAATAGGTGCCTAGATTCTGTGTAACAGTGATAGCGTACAGGACACGCCTGTCATTTGCAAATTTAAGTTGCAGTTACAGCAAATTTTATTTTTACACTGTGAAGCTTTCCTTCATCGTTGCGGCTGATAGAGGTCTATCCTTTGGGGGCAGGAATGGTAAATATGAGACATTCATACTACTACGTCCTTCTTCTGGTACCCATGACAGACATTTCTTTTTTTTTTTTTTTTGTCTTTTTTGTCTTTTTCCGTGTCCGGCAACGGATCGCAAC